AACAAAATATTTAAATGTCCTTTGAGCAGGTATGGTAGTAGTATGTGCCAGGCGCACCGGTTTATCAAGAACTGCAACACTGCTGGGTTTTTCACACTCAACAGTTTCCCGTGTGTATCAAGAACGGTCCACCACCCAAAGGACATCCAGCCAACTGTAGGAATCATTGGAGTCAACATGGACCAGCATCCCTGTGGAACGCTTTTGACACCTTGTAGAGTCCATGCCCGACGAATTGAGGCTGTTCTGAGGGCAAAAGGACAGAAGGGTGCAACTCAATAATAGGAAGGTGTTCCAAATGTTTGCTATACTCAGTGTAGGATTAATATGATCTTCAATCAATAGTCCCTAACATCCAATTTGGACATTAATTCTTCTTAACAATGAGTAAGACATGAGGAATCCAATAAAATGGTCAAAAGCCACCCACGGATCCCCCACACCCCATTCCAATCCCACCCCAACAACCAGTATACAGTATCGGTTCTCTGTTTGACAAGTAGTACGGAGCTGCTGCTTGGTGTATTGCTTCTTCATCCTTTGTAATGTATTCCCTGTGAATCTGGTGATGGTTTTTTCCCCGTTCTGAGAAATTAGTCATTGAAGTCGCTTGCATTATTTACATAAATTAGTGTGAGAGGACCACGTTTTGCCCAATAGATGCCACTGGTCCTGCTACTGCCACCACACCATTTTATCTATGTTGCTGGTCTCTTGTGTTTATTAAAGGTGCAATATGCAGAAATCGATCTGCCATTTCCTGGTTGCTAAAATTCTAATAGTTTACCTAATTTTCAGTTTATGTGACAAAACAAGCTATGGTATAGTGTAGAGAATAATTGTACCATCTAAACCGCTGTGAAATATATTTTCAATAACCAAGAATATTGTATTTTCAGCTGTTTGAAGCTGGTGTACAACACCAAAAGTAAAAGACGCAAAATCGAAACTTAAGAACAGGAAGCATAGAAATAGCACGCATAGAACAGATTTACCGCTTCTTTGACTTGCTTTCAATGAGAATGACAGATCTATAACACACCAAAAAGTGACATATTGCAGCATTTTCCTTGCAACTTTGGGTAGAAAACCAATAACTTTTGCTCATTGTTCTTTTTGGATCGGCAGGTAGCCTTAGCGGTTAGATCGTTGGGCGGCGGGCCTGTAACCGAAAGGTAGCTGGTTCAAATCACCAAGCCAACAAGGTGAAATTCTGTCGATGTGCCCTTGAGCAAGGCACTTAACCCCAATTTGCTCCCGGGCGCCGTACTACTATTGCTGACTCTGTAAAACATTTCACTGCACCTATCCGGTGTATGTGACAATAAAACATACTTATTTATTTGATTATTTATTATGATGAAAATAGACTGTATGGTCATCCTCACAATTCAAGCCAGTCCTCCATGAAAGCAATTCAGTTTGTCATTCTCTTAGGCTTGTGTCCAGGAAACTGCCCCCCTGTGTGTGGTTTATTCCCTTTAAAAAAGGACTGGATTAGTTACACCATTCCTGGCGAACAAGTAAACCATTAGGCTACAGCAGTTCTAATGGTTTCAATGTTATGGTCTTCAATGGTAAAAGTCCAAAGACACACTGTATAGTGTTTTACAATAGTAATGGTATTGGGTTTAATGTTAAATGTCACTAATCACACTACATAGAGATGTTTTCTAATAATTTAATTGAGAAACATATGACTGCCATGAAATGGTTTACAATTGTATGATTTTATTAGGGTTGTCACAACATTGGAGTCACTAGCCCACTTCCCCATCAAAGTTTAGGGCTTCGTAGGAAGTCTTCACATGAGAAATGCACCCTACGGACAGCCCTCAGAGCTGCCATTTGTTGGACTATTCAAGGAGAGTTGCGTTGAAGCATTAAGTTGCTAAGAGAAGGATAAACTGATTTGCTTTCTTTCAGGACTGGCTTGACCACACAATTTATTTTCATATGAGCAAAACCTATTTTGTTAGACTTCAGTGCGGCTTTTGACATTATAATAATAATAATAATAATAATATGCCATTTAGCAGACGCTTTTATCCAAAGCGACTTACAGTCATGCGTGCATACATTTTTGTGTATGGGTGGTCCCGGGGATCGAACCCACTACCTTGGCGTTACAAGCGCCGTGCTCTACCAGCTGAGCTACAGAGGACCACATATTATTGATCATAGTCTGCTGATGGAAAAAACGTATGTGTTAAGGCTTTACACTCCCTGCTATTTTGTGGATACAGAGTTACCTGTCTAACGGAACACAGAGGGTGTTCTTTAATGGAAGCCTCTCCAACATAATCCAGGTAGAATCAGGAATTCCCCAGGGCAGCTGTCTAGGCCGCTTACTTTTTTCAATCTTTACTAACGACATGCCACTGGCTCTGAATAAAGCCAGTTTGTATGTATGAGGATTACTCAACACTATACACGTCAGCTACTACAGCGACTGAAATGACTGCAACACTTAACAAAGAGCTTCAGTTAGTTTCAGAATGCGTGGCAAGGAATAAGTTAGTCCTAAATATTTTAAAAACTAAAAGCATTGTATTGGGAGAAATCATTCACTAAACCCTAAACCTCAAATAAATCTTGTAATGAATAAGAACACAGTTGAGATGACTAAACTGCTTGGAGTAACCCTGGATTGTAAACTGTCATGGTCAAAACATATTGATACAACAGTAGCTAAGATGGGGAGAAGTCTTCCCATAATAAAGCACTGCTCTGCCTTCTTAACAGCACTATCAACAAGGCAGGTCCTACAGGCCCTAGTTTTGTCGCACCTGGACTTCTGTTCAGTCGTGTGGTCAGGTGCCACAAAGAGGGACTTTGCAATTGGCTCAGAAAAAGGGCAGCACAGCTGGCCCTTGGATATACACAGAGCGCTAACATTAATAATATGCATGTCAATCTCTCCTGGCTCAAAGTGGAGGAGAGATTGACTTCATCACTACTTGTATTTGTGAGATGTATTCAAATGTTTAATGCACCGAGCTGTCTGTTTGAACTACTGGCACACAGCTCGGACCTCATGCATACCCCACAAGACATGCCACCAGAGGTCTCTTTACAGTCCCCAAGTCCAGAACAGACTATGGGAGGCGCACAGTACTACATAGAGCCATGACTACATGAAACTATTACACATCAAGTAACTCATGCAAGCAGTAAAATTAGATTTCAAAAACAGATAAAAATACACCTTATGGAACAGTGGGGACTGTGAAGCAACACAAACATAGGCACAGACACATGCATATACAAGCACGATAACATACGCACTATACACACGTACACATTGATTTTGTATTGTAGATATGTGGTAGTGGTGGAGTAGGGGCCTGAGGGCACACACTTAATGTGTTGTGAAAACTGTTGTGAATGTATTGTAATGTTTTTAAAATTGTATAACTGCATTAATTTTGCTGGACCCCAGGAAGAGTAGCTGCTGCCTTGCCAGGAACTAATGGGGATCCATAATAAATACAAATACCTATTAGTTTTCTACCCAAAGTTGCAAAGAAAACTTTACTTTACTTTCTAAATGTAATCCGTTACAGTTACTAGTTACCTGTCCAAAGTTGTAATCAGAAAAGTATATTTTGGATTACCCAAACGCAGTAACATAATCTGATTTCTTTCAGTTACTTCTCCTTAAAGGATAAGTTATTTTTTACAACCAAATCTCTATTTTTGATGGAAATGGCATGTTATAGAATAGCCAAGACACCTTTTGTGTGATTTCCCATGTTTTCGAGAAACTTACCCCAAATTACTTCCTAATCGCGTAGTATGGGGGCCCCGAAAATACATGAACAAAGGCTCCAAAAACACCCAAATACGTCATTCTAGAAACGGCAAAGCTCTCAGTATAGTGATGCATTACTCCGATTCTTGATGGTAAAGAAAATAAAAGCCCCACTCGTGGTGTTCTTAAATTAAACTCATTTTTGACAGTATGGAGGACAATACCACAGGGGAGATTAGAAGGGAGTAACTCAAACTTTTATTCCATAGGCTGGGGATCCTCACTATGCAGCTGTTGCAAGAACACATTTTCCCCTGGCTGTCCATTAGGGAGGGAGTATTCATTACTCCGATTCTGTTACAAAACGTTTCATAAACAGAACAAAACTGGGAGGGACCTACCTGAATTTTGTCCAATAAATTTGCTCTGTTTGCTTCAGTTTGGTTCTTAAACGGTAAACTGTTTCTGTAATGAATACACCCCTGGTCACAAAAACAATGATTGATAGGCAGCTTAAACTTCTTCAATTCAACCATTATTGGGTTAAAATACACATATACATTTGTAAACAGCCATCCAGAACAACCACAATCCGTAAGATGCAAATAAATGAGAGCAGCAGCAGTGTGATTCAATCACACGTGATATCAGCATCGCCTGTAGGCTAAGTACCACTGCTGTCGTCCTTACCTTCAAGTGTTTATTCAAGTTGGATAATCTTTGGATGCCAAAAGCAGTCACACCATTGGAAGACATAGCTTTGACTGTAGCCTACAAAAGACTACTCCTGCTCTTTTCCCGCAATCCATTAAACGCATTTGGTGTGTCATCATAGTGGTCTCTGATTTGTGGTCAGACTTGCTTAGGCAGAACAAAATTTAAATTGTGCCTTTTTTCAATGCTGATTTGAATGTCATTGAGAAAACAGATGGTGTCAAATAATCTTGGTGAAATTGAGTCAAAGACACGTAACGGAGGGAAAAGAGAATGTAGGGAGAAGAACTGTGATCACTTGGCTAAGTTTCTTTTTTTGTTGCGAGTCGCTTTTGCACATTAACAAATGGAACACTAGAGTCAATTTGACTTAATGGTTGTCTTTGGGACAGAATGTCATCTGCCTGTTCGGGAAGCCAAAAGCAGATTCCACCTGCCCGACTGTTCAGTTTACCTGCCCCCGGCAATCGGGCAACCGTTAATGTCAACCCCTGCAAGGGATCAAACACTCCCTATGTGGAAAGGAATGTTTAGAGAGGAAATAGACGCAGGTTAGATTTCAGACGTTACTCACCGAGCTACCCTTGGTGCTGCCGTAGCACAGGACCAATTTGCGGTAGTTATACAGCCGGATCTCACTGAACAGACTCAGGTAGGACGGCATCTCTGGTAGTGATCGTGAGAACACCAGGACACACTGGTAAAGTTGGCTGATGGAGCTCCAGTCGTTGAGGAACATCTCCACCACCTTCCTCCCTCCCACAGGCTCAGAAAGAGGGTTCTCATAGGTTAGGTACACATGGCGCGTAGAAGCTGGACACACACAGAGATAAGGGCACATTAGACTCAGTTTGGGTAGTGTGTGTGTGTGTGAGAACGTGCATTTCTGTGTGTGTTTTTGTATGTGCTCATGCGTGTGTTTGTATTAGTGTGTTTACCTTGCTCCTTGCTGTGTGTGCTGTTGAGCGGGTAGTTCCCTAGAACCAGCTCCGCGACCCAGGTACGGTTGTTCCGGCCCTGCAGACGGAAGGTGCAGTCCAGCAGAGAGCGCTCCAGAACCTGCCTCGTCTCCTCCCCTACACCCTTACTGGGAGGGATCCTAGGTAAAGGGAGGGGAACAGGACCACAAAGGGTTAGGTACACGGTACCTAGTACATATGTCTATCACTGAAATTACGGGTATAAACCATCATTAAAAATATATATATACAGTAATGTTTAAAAGTAAGTACACCCCCTGGAAAGTTGTATTTTTTAAACATATTTGAATAGATGTAATCTTCACTTCAACACTATTGACAGATAAAGGTAATCTAATTTAACAAATGACACTGACATTTGTCATTTATTCATCAAAGATCAACAGAATTGCAATTCCATAGTTCGGGAAAAATAAGTACACCCCTAGCTTCAATAGCTTGTGTTGCCCCCTTTGGCTGAAATAACTTAAATGTAGACTTTTCTTGTAACTGTCTATCAGTCTCTTACATCGACTGGGAGGAATTTTTCACCACTCTTCTTTATAGTACTGCTTCAACTGTGTCATGTTCGAGGGCTTTCTTGCATGCACGGCCCGCTTCAAGTCCTCCCACAGCATTTCGATAGGATTGAGATCTGGCCTTTGACTCTGCCATTCCATAACCCTCCATTTCTTCTATTTGAGCCATTCTGTTGTAGCTTTGCTTTTGTGTTTTGGATCATTGTCCTGTTGCAACATCTATGTTCAGCTCAGCTTCAGCTTTTTGACAGATGGCCTCACATTCTCCTCAAGAATTCTCTGGTACAATATAGAATTCATGGTTGACTCAATGATGGCAAATTGGCCAGGCCCTGAGGCAGCAAAGCAGCCCCAAACCATAATGCCATCACCTCCATGCTTTACGGAGGTTCATCTGTTCAAAGGCAGTGTTTCGTTTTCGCCAAACATGGCGTCTGGCATTGCGGCCAAACAACTTCACCTTTGACTCATCTGTCCAGAGCACATTGTTCCAGTAGTTTTGGTCTTTACCCAGGTGTTGTCTGGCAAAACGTCAGTCATGTCTTGATATAATTTTTTGAGAGCAGAGGCTTCTTCCTTCCTGACCTCCTATGTAGGACAAGTTTGTGCAGTCTCTTTCTGACAGTTGACTCATGCACATCGACATTGATTGTGGCAAGAGAGGCCGGTAGATCCCTTGATGTTACCCTGGCGTTCTTAGAGACTTCCATAAGCATCTTTCGGACGATCTGTCCTAGGTAGATTGCCAGTGGTCTGGAATTTTCTCAATTTGTAGATGAGCCGTCAGACAGTGGAATGATGTACTTTGAATTGCTTGGAAATGGATTTGTAACCCCTCCCAGACTAAAGGGCATCAATAATCTTTCTTCTGGGGGCCTCGGGTAGGTATTTTGATCTTGGCATGATGTGTTACCACACACCCATATGGTTAAGACAAAACCAGCCCACATTTCTAATCTTTATGGAAGGCTGGACCCTCCTAAGTTTCTCTCTAATGATTTTCTAATAATTTGGATCTGTTCTGGTGCACCTGACTAATATTAGCCATTTTATGTGACGGTAAAGGTAGGGGTGTACTAACTTTTTCCGCATAAGGAAAAGGCATTTTTGTTTATTTTAATTGCAAAACATTTTCTAAGTAATTTTTGTTGTTGTGGTGATTTGTTAAATTGGGTTAACTTTATCAATGAATGTGGTGAGAATTCAGCTCAAATATCCATGTGTCCAAAATATGTAAAAAAACAACTAAAAAAAAGATTTAAAAAAAAAACAAACGACCACTTTCCAGGGGGTGTACTTACTTTTTCACATGACTGTATACATGTTTTGTGGGTATGTGTCTAAGTGCGCTGCGAGAAAGCTTCAGTTCAAATCAGTAGAACCGAAATCACAATCATAGACACTTTCTGACTTCAGCATTATCTTTAAAGCCCACATGCAGTCTTCTTCATTTCATTTTTTAATTATCAATGTATGTCTAATAAATCACTCCAAATATATTTTTTATCATTTATTTCCCTGAGCTTCCCTTTGCCAACGAAATGCTCAGTCTGTTCGGGTGGGTGTGTTGATAAAATGTTAATATATTACAAACACAGCCCTACTTTGTGGATAGGACCGTCTAGACCAGGGGTGTCTGCGGGTTTTGTTTTTTTCCGTTCAATTAAGCCCTAGACAATCAGGTGAGGGGAGTTCCTTACTAATTAGTGACCTTAATTTATCAATCAAGTACAAGGGAGGAGCGAAAACCCGCAGACCCTCGGCCATCCGTGGAATGAGTTTGACACGTGTGGTATAGACTCTAAAGCAAACCCTGCTTATCCCTTCAAAGTAGGAGGATACATATGCAAATAAAAGATGACTGGTCATTGGTAATAATCAGATCAGATTGTGATGTCATGCTGTGGGACAAAAACCCCATCCCACCTGAACAGGCTGAAGTTCCAGGTGTCTTTTATTGTATTTTTTAAAGCTCTTACATTAAAAAGTGCATTTTCATCATTTTCACAATTTCACAGTGTTATTTCGATCTCAGTGTGAAAATATCCACACAAAAAAAAAAAAAAACACATTTGACTGCACTGCCCCTTTAACATTCCCATTGACTTCCATATTATTAGACAGTGCCACTAACATCAACTGCATGATGGGGAGTCTTACTTGAGGATGCGGATGGCGTGACTGCAGCAGTCTCCCTCCACCTGCACACCCTGGTGAGGAATCTCCATCTGAGATAACTAGAGAGAAGAGAGACATGTTAGAAGGAGTAGGAATGGAGGGAAGAAAGGGAGGGATGAGGAGAGGACGAAAGAGAGGAGAGGTGAGGAATCTCCATGTGCGACAGCTGGATAGAGAGGAGAGACAGACAGAGAGGAGGAAGGATTGATGAGGAGAGGAAAGGAGGAAGAGAGGGATGGAGAGGAAGAGGAATGATGAAGAGAGATATGAATAGTAGAATGGGAAGTGGTGGAGAGGGAGGAGGTGGAAAAGTAAAGAGTGAGGAAGAGTTGTAAGATCTAGAGAGAAAATAAAAGTGGTTCCTCCCTCCATCCATACCTCCACTCTGAGGCCTAAGAAGGGCATGTTAGTGTCACACATGGCCACTAGGTGAGCCAGCTCCTTGTTGAAGGCAGACATCTCCCCTGAGCGCTTTGGCTTCTTGGACTCCAGAACACCCTGGTCACCTGACAACTGGAGGACAGAGAAGAGAGAGAGGAGATATACAGTGAGATAACCGAACATCTAATGATTATAAATAATAATACATTTACTTTATAACACACTTTTTATTTATATTTCAGGAAAATATCAGGGTTTATATGTATTTTGTAAGTATTTTTCCTTCGATTAATCCTTTTAGGACATGGTTTCAGATCATCTACAGTGGGGAAAAAAAGTATTTAGTCAGCCACTAATTGTGCAAGTTCTCCCACTTAAAAAGATGAGAGAGGCCTGTAATTTTCATCATAGGTACACGTCAACTATGACAGACAAAATGAGAAAAAAAATCCAGAAAATCACATTGTAGGATTTTTAATGAATTTATTTGCAAATTATGGTGGAAAATAAGTATTTGGTCAATAACAAAAGTTTCTCAATACTTTGTTATATACCCTTTGTTGGCAATGACACAGGTCAAATGTTTTCTGTAAGTCTTCACAAGGTTTTCACACACTGTTGCTGGTATTTTGGCCCATTCATCCATGCAGATCTCCTCTAGAGCAGTGATGTTTTGGGTCTGTCGCTGGGCAACACGGACTTTCAACTCCCTCCAAAGATTTTCTATGGGATTGAGATCTGGAGACTGGCTAGGCCACTCCAGGACCTTGAAATGCTTCTTACGAAGCCACTCCTTCATTGCCCGGGCGGTGTGTTTGGGATCATTGTCATGCTGAAAGACCCAGCCACGTTTAATCTTCAATGCCCTTGCTGATGGAAGGAGGTTTTCACTCAAAATCTCACGATACATGGCCCCATTCATTCTTTCCTTTACACGGATCAGTCGTCCTGGTCCCTTTGCAGAAAAACAGCCCCAAAGCATGTTTCCACCCCCATGCTTCACAGTAGGTATGGTGTTCTTTGGATGCAACTCAGCATTCTTTGTCCTCCAAACACGATGAGTTGAGTTTTTACCAAAATAGAACAGGTTTCATCTGACCATATGACATTCTCCCAATCCTCTTCTGGATCATCCAAATGCACTCTAGCAAACTTCAGACGGGCCTGGACATGTACTGGCTTAAGCAGGGGGACACGTCTGGCACTGCAGGATTTGAGTCCCTGGCGGCGTAGTGTGTTACTGATGGTAGGCTTTGTTACTTTGGTCCCAGCTCTCTGCAGGTCATTCACTAGGTCCCCCCGTGTGGTTCTGGGATTTTTGCTCACCGTTCTTGTGATCATTTTGACCCCACGGGGTGAGATCTTGCATGGAGCCCCAGATTGAGGTAGATTATCAGTGGTCTTGTATGTCTTCCATTTCCTAATAATTGCTCCCACAGTTGATTTCTTCAAACCAAGCTGCTTACCTATTGCAGATTCAGTCTTCCCAGCCTGGTGCAGGTCTACAATTTTGTTTCTGGTGTCCTTTGACAGCTCTTTGGTCTTGGCCATAGTGGAGTTTGGAGTGTGACTGTTTGAGGTTGTGGACAGGTGTCTTTTATACTGATAACAAGTTCAAACAGGTGCCATTAATACAGGTAACGAGTGGAGGACAGAGGAGCCTCTTAAAGAAGAAGTTACAGGCAGAGCATATGAGCGGAGTGGAGCGGTGAGAATCTCAGCTCCTCGCTCACGGAGCTGTTCACCCCTCCGCTCCCCCCGCTCAAAGCCACATCAGGCCAGTCCGCTCATTATCGCTCAGCGCAGTTTGCATCGCGCTCCACTCAAATCGCCCCCCGCTCACTCCAAAAAAGGAACAAAATCTGCATGTATTTCACTTTTAGCTTAAACCACAGCCTTACTTTATCTCCCCGAATTTGTTGCATACAGACTCATCTCGGATTATCCATTCTGTCTTGAAACGGGGATCTAACACTGACGCTAAAATGAGATGTTAATCAGTATAGTATATTCCATAGCGAATTGACACGTTGTTTGCCAATGTTTCTGCAAAAGCAGCGATGCCCATTGGAAGTGCAGCGTGAGTGTAATCGGTGAGCAGGGATTTGATTTGTGACAGCAGGGAGGATCATCCCCAGGTTCCCCAGCTCCTTCTGCATTTTGTCTGTGAGGTCTGCTTGTGGTGTCAGCACACTGACAAGGTGCGTCAGCTGCCGTACTTGATTCAGGGTGATGTTAGCAACATTAGACTTGAGTTTGTTTTACCATAACGGGTCTTTTTGGAACAACCGGATGAACGACTGAATCATCCGCAGCTGGCTGCTCCATCGAATGGCGCAGGCATTTGTGGGGAGGACACCTAATTGGTCGGTTTCCTCTGTGCTCTTGCGTACACTTTTCACCAGGTGCCCGACTTTCACTAACAGCCTATTAATGTTGTCGTGCTTGTTAACGGCGTTTTTGATCGCCAGCTGAAGCATGTGAATGGGGCATCTCAGATGTAAATTTGACAAAGTAAAGTACTGATTTATCATAGTTTCTTGGGGGAGTGTAGCCCGGTTGAGCTGCGCTCGCGTTCTCCTTTACTCAGCGGTTCATAGTCCATGAAAATCATTTCAAAAAATGCTACATCCAGCTCTCTTTTTCTCTCCCTTGTTATGTTTGGGCCTTTGCGTGCAGTGAATAAACTTTTGAATTCCTCAACCCTTTTCTCTTGTTGCTGCTGCTGCTGCTCCTCTCGCTCTATAAAATACAAATTAATGGACGACACAAATTAAATTAAACAGATGGATTCTGGGTCAGGCTTGAGCATGCTTCAGACTCGTGGTGTGAGCGAGCGAAATTGGAGCGGGACATAGGGCGACGCTCCGTCCTTTTAAAAATGCCGCTCTGCGCTCTGTTCAAAATCCGTCCGCTCACGCTCCACGCTCGCTCCCGCTCCACTCCGCTCATATGCTCTGGTTACAGGTCTGTGAAAGCCAGAAATCTTGCTTGTTTGTAGGTGACCAAATACTTATTTTCCACCATAATTTGCAAATAAATTCATAAAAAATCCTACAATGTGATTTTCTGGATTTTTTTTCTTCAATTTGTCTGTCATAGTTGACGTGTACCTGTGATGAAAATTACAGGCCTCTCTCATATTTTTAAGTGGGAGAACTTGCACAATTGGTGGCTGACTAAATACTTTTTTTCGCCACTGTATATTTTAATTAATTGTAACCCATACACGCAGTTCTGTAATCCAGTCCTACTTTTCTCTTAGCTCCATGGCGGGCCCTTCGGCCGGCGCTATTGTCCAGGACGAGCTGCTCCAGGTTGGGCTTGAAGTGCTGAAGGAGCTGGGCGCATGGAGGTCCCTCCTCACCCTCCAACTGAGACACGGAAAGAAAGGAGTACTTGTACTGGAGCTCCGTGGGACAGCCAGGCACGTCAAGCATCTCCACCACCTAGAGAGACAGGGAAGGGGAGGGAAGGGTGAGGGAGGGAGAGAGCGAGGAATGGGATAAAATAGGAATGAGGAGGGGTGAAGAAAAGAGTGGGAAAGTTGTGCATGGTTAATGTACAGTATATTGTTCTACATTTTTTGTGTTTACAATAAACTTACTCTATTTTGGGGACAAATAATTGGGATAAGGTGGGAGGCACTTACAATATAATACTGTGGTAGCCGGGTTAGCCGGATGAAGATCCTGTGTTTTGATAGGCTGCCGGCAGGGTGGGAGGCGGAGTTGGAGAGGTGTAGTATGTCTGTGCAGACAGTGGGGAGGTGTTTCACTGACTGTCTACACCTCTGCTCCCCTAACCAAAACCTGGAGGGAGGGAGAAGAGTGGTGAGGAAAGAGACAGGGAGGGGGGTGTGAGAGCGAAATAAACATTAGTGAACTGAAATACGACATTCTCCAAATAGACCAGAATCTGCCAACGAGCAGCTATTTCACAGTTCAACATTCACACATCAGTGAGACATCATTATCACTCTACTAACACTCTTTCCCAAACTGATAAACAAGCCATTTCTGGCCAGATCATATCATATAAATAAAACCACAGAACATTGACTTAAATCCGTTCCAGTAATTATGCATATCACAAAATGACAGACTCAACCTCACAGAGTAGAGTGCTGGTCTACGTAATTTATACAAACACCCTAAGTCATTTCAGAAATTCTTCCCCTGCATAGAAGCACATTTCCATGGAAGGGCGCAATATCTGGTCTTATCTCCATATGGGCATACTACACTGAACAAAAATATAAACGCAACATGCAACGATTTCATAGAGTTTACTGAGTTACAGCTCATATAAGGAAATTAGTCAATTGAAATTAATTAATTAGGCCCTAATCTATGGAGTTCACATGACTGGGAATACAGATATGCATCTATTGGTCAGATACCTTAAAGAAAAAAGGTAGGAGCGTGGATCAGAAAACCAGTCAGTATCTGGTGTGACCACCATTTGCCTCATGCATAGTGTTGATCAGGCTGTTGATTGTGGCCTTTGGAATGTTGTCTCACTGCTCTTCAATGGCTGTGCGAAATTGCTGGATATTGGCGGGAACTGGAACACGCTGTCATACACGTCGATCCAGAGCATCCCAAACATGCTCAAATGGGTGACATGTCTGGTGAGTATGCAGGTCATGGAAGAACTGGGACAGTTTCAGCCTCCAGGAATTGTGTACAGATCCTTGCGACATGCAGCTGTGCATTATCATGCTGAAACATGAGGTGATGGTGGAAGATGAATGGCACGACAATGGGTCTCAGGATCTCGTCATGGTATCTCTGCGCATTCAAATTGCCATTGATAAAATTGTGTTCGTTGTCCGTAGCTTATGCCTGCCCATACCATAACCCTACCGCCACCATGTGGCACTCTGTTCACAACATTGACATCAGCAAACCACTCGCCCACACAACGCCATACGTCTGCCATCTGCCCGATACAGTTGAAACCGGGATTCCTCTGTGAAGAGCACACTTCTCCAGCATGCCAGTGACCATCGAAGGTGAGCATTTGCCCACTGAAGTCGGTTACAACATCGAACTGCAGTCAGGTCAAGACCCTGGTGAGGACGACGAGCCCGCAGATGAGCTTCCCGGAGACAGTTTGACAGTTTGTGCAGAAATTCTTCGGTTGTGCAAACCCATAGTTTCATCAGCTGTCCGGGTGGCTGATCTCAGACGATACTGCAGGTGAGGAAGATGGATGTGGAGGTCCTGGGCTGGCGAGGTTACACGTGATCTGTGGTTGAGGCCGGTTGGACGTACTGCCAAATTGTCTAAAACAACGTTGGAGGCAGCTTATGGTAGAGAAAGGAACATTACATTCTCTGGCAACAGCGCTGGTGGAAATTCCTGCAGTCAGCATGCCAATTGCACACTCCCTCAAAACTTGAGACATCTGTAGCATTGTGTTGTGTGACAAAACTGCACATTTTAGAGTGGCCTTTTATTGTCCCCAGCACAAGGAGCACCTGTGGAATGATCATGCTGTTCTTGAGATGCCACACCTGTCAGGTGGATGGATTATCTTGGCAAAGGAGAAATGCTCACTAACATGGATGTAAACAAATTTGTGCACAACATTTTAGAGAAATAACCTTTTTGTGCGTATGGAACATTTCTGGGAACTTTTATTTCAGCTCATGAAACATGGGACCAACACTTTACATGTTGCGTTTATATTTTTGTTCAGTATACACTACTAAGGTACTAGGGTGAAGCACTTTGCATACTAAAGTGTGCTAGTGTGGATATGGAGGTATGAAGGCCTTCTGAGGAGTAGTGATATGACACATGACAGGCAGTTGTCACAAAGAGAGACAGGAAGTGGATTTACTTGAGCTGCTGCAGCCAGGATATGATGCGCTTCATGTCGTCGTTGATGGTCTTCTCAATGTCGTCCAGTATGGACTGATCTGGAGACAGACAGACACAGTGGAAGTGAGTACAGTGTATGTGTGTGTGTGTCCCAGCTTACCGATGTGGTGTGTGTGTGTATGTGCCCCTCCCTGCTTACGAATTCCATACAGCATTGGCTGGAACATCCCTGAGTGCAGGTCTACAAAGATGTGCAGGCACTCGGAGCGTCCGCAGGGCTCCAGGATGGGAATGACCAGGGTGGGCAGAGCTGTCTCTATGAACGCTGAAACACAGGCAGGCAGGGACAATAACATCACACATTGACGACATAGTTGTTTCTCTCCACAACATTGTTCATTTCATTCTGGGTCGATGTGGTTGGATTAGTCAGTGTATAGCTACGTCAGAGAGGACAGAGACTCACAGCTGTCGCTGGGGTTGCTGCTCTTCAGGATGGCTTTCAGCTCCTGCAGCTTCTGATGGGAGCGGGCGTGCACGCTGTCAATCAAAAGCTTCTCCACTGACAAGTGGTCAATCTTCAGGAGGGGGCGGGTATAAAGACAGGAAATGAGGTCATCATCACAACAACAAAAATTGCACAGCACCATATCTGCGAGGAACGAGGCGTTAGCTCACCTTCATGGCTCTCTCCATCAGTCTAGAGTCACAGGCAGGGAGCGGAGGATCATGGGAGATCTGCAGAGGCTTGGAGCCGTCTGAATCGTCAATCTTGATGGTGACTTTGTGGACCGACGCAGTGCCCGTCTTCCTTCCCAGGACCTGTTGGCTGGAGAGGGGGCGAGATAGAGGTCAAATTATGGTGGACCAATTTCCCTGTGATGAATGATAAAAGTATATGCATTCAACGAACCAATCAATCATTGAACCATCAGGCCTGTTAACGTATAACTTCTCAGTGAGTAGTTGAGTGTGTGTGTGTTTCTTACTTCCAGACGGCCAGCGTGAGGCACTTGGCAGGCATGTAGCGCTCCACCTGCACCAGGTCTCCCCAGCGCTCTCGGACCAGCATGAGGGTCTGGGAGTGGAGCACCTCCAGCTGAAGAGACAGGCAGAATGAGTCTAGACGGGACGGGGTTAAGGAAGGGCTGGTCCAGGATGATGGCATACACACTTACTCACAATACACACAGATAAAGAAATGCAGACACACATGATACACACACACCCAGGCTGTGTGTGTGTGGTGACAGACTTCAGTTATGAAACCAGACTGCGACTGGCAGTTATACTTGCTATGAAGTCATGATAAGGTTCATACAAAAACTGACTGATAGAAACAAATCCTTCGCCATATCTAATTATTGGCGGTCTATTGAGCATAACAGTATTTAAATATATGTAGCATTATTCATTTCCCACTAAAGAGTATTTGAAATGTTGTAAATATTTCTGCTTGGTTCATGGAAACAAACTGATGAACTGAAAGACATTGTGTGACTGTTGGCTTTGGCACTCATTGGAATGCTGTTGGTGCCCTGGGCCTGCTGTACGCATGGTCACTGTCGGTCAATATTGTATGTGTGCACACACACCCACACAGACACAATTACATTCACTGCAGCAGCTCAAGCCAGACTTGACCCTGAGCCCACTGTCTGCACAGAAACAGTACACACACACACAGTGAAAGGATACGCAGGCAGCTGTACATATCCTGCAGTGGTTTCTCATCTGCAAACAGGCGTGACTGCACCAGCTCATGGATGAAGTTCACTTGCATACTGTGGACCAGAGCTCTGCCATCTGGAAGGAGGGGCGGGGGTAATATTGAAAAAGGAGTTAGCAACAAACAAAAAAAGAAAGCAATCTTAAGATTGTTTTTTTCAAGTACTGGATGTGTTTTTCATTCAAGTTGGATTACTCCTGAGCATCAGGACCAGAAAAAATATCATTTGCTGGACATATTGTGAGAGTTGAACACTCTGGACTCTTTCATTTTCATTTCTGTATTATAATAAGAGTTTGTGTATCTTGCTCTTTGCAAAACGCGAGTTAGTTAGTCCAAGGAAGCTGGCCTAAAGCTAATCGCTAACTAGCTAGCTAAACACCCTTTGGCTAAATGCACTAGCTAGGATAAAGCAAACGTTATCTCTAATACAGGTTGGCTACTAGTGGTGGTGTATATCAGTACGTTGCAGTGTTTCCTCTGGAACAATTTGAAGCAGTGAGGGGGAAAGGTTGTGTGTAGAAGGACTAAGAAGCTCAGTTCTGGTGACTTATTTAAAAGGACATTACGCTCCAAAATAAAATTATGCTGACACCATTTTTCTCATATTATTTGTTAATTATTTAAACATATTGGACAATGCAAATAGCCTATGCATGGTCCATATTATCAGGTATGCTATTGGCAGCATAGTGACTATAAATAAATAGGCTGAAGTATGGGGTTGCCTATCTGCATTTACCCTATTGGGCTAATCATTTAACTAGTTAGCATCCTATTGATGTATTTTATGTCTAAATAAACTTGCATAAACACAGTGAATATAATGTAGGCCTACCTGTTAGGGTAACTTGGGGTAAACCGCCACCCCGGTTTAAACTGCCTGTACTTCTCACAGAAACCACTTCATGTCATATTTTTCCCCCCAACACGTTCCCTGGTTACCACTACTCTTGTTCAACTAAAAATGTAATCTGTCTCATCAAAAAAATGTAAGTCACTGTATTTTACCCCAAGTTACCCTACAATTGACCCGTGTTACATTTATCTCCACTCTCCCCTATGCACTCACAGCAAATTGCAGAGCGGTAAAGCTGCTAAAAACTCTGGGTTTAAAAAGATGCAGTTCGCACATATTTAGGAGTTGAGAAATAAATAAAGTAGGAATCGAAAGCTCTATCTGGGATCCCCCACTTTTTTAAAAAGGCCATCAAAACTGCTTTTTTCTCCACGATTGCAATACTTGTTGTGCATTGACTGTTTGTCAGAATGCATGTTTCACCTTCCTATGGCACTCGTAACTTGAATGCGCATCGAGAGGAATATTTATCTCGCATAAAACACACAATGCAATCCGGTTTCCGAGCTGGTCATGGGTGCACCTCAGCCACGCTCAAGGTCCTAAAACGATATTATAACCGCGATCGATAAAAGACAGTACTGCGCAGCCGTCTTCATCGACCTGGCCAAGGCTTTCGACTCTGTCAACCACTGCATTCTTATTGGCAGACTAAATTGCCTTGGTTTCTCAAATGACTGCCTCGCCTGGTTCACCAACTACTTCTCAGATAGAGTTCAATGTGTCAAATCGGAGGGCCTGTTGTCTGGACCTCTGGCAGTCTCTATGGGGGTGCCACAGGGTTCAATTCTCAGGCCGACTCTATTCTCTGTGTATATCAATGATGTTGCTCTTGCTGCTGGTGACGCTCGGATCCACCTCTATGCGGACGACACCATTTTCTATACATCTGGCCCTTCATTGGATACTGTGTTAACAAACCTCCAAACGAGCTTCAATGCCATACAACACTCCTTCCGTAGCCTCCAACTGCTCTTAAACACTAGTAAAACTAAATGCATGCTCTTCAATCGAACGCTGCTGGCACCCGCCCACCCGACTAGAATCACTACTCTCGGCGGGTCTGACCTAGAGTATGTGGACAACTACAAATACCTAGGTGTCTGGTTAGACTGTAAACTCTCCTTCCAGACTCACATTAAGCATCTTCAATCAAAAGTTAGATCTAGAATCAGCTTCCTATTTCGCAACAAAGCCTCCTTCACTCATGCTGCCAAACATGCCCTCGTAAAACTGACTATCCTACCGATCCTTGACTTCGGCGATGTCATTTACAAAATAGCCTCCAACACTCTACTCAGCAAATTGGATGAAGTCTATCACAGTGCCATCCATTTTGTCACCAAAGCCCCATATACTACCCACCTCTGTGACCTGTACGCTCTTGTTGGCTGGCCCTCACTACATATTCGTCGCCAAACCCACTGGCTCCAGGTCATCTATAAATCACTGCTAGGCAAATCCCAGTCTTATCTTAGCTCACTGGTCACCATAGCAACACCCACCCCTAGTCTGCGCTCCAGCAGGTATATCTCACTGGTCATCCCCAAAGCCAACACCTCCTTTGGCCGCCATTCCTTCCAGTTCTCTGCTGCCAATGACTGGAACGAACTGCAAAAATCTCTGAAGCTGGAGACTGTTATCTCCCTCACTAACTTTAGGCGTCAGTTGTCAAAGCAGCTTACCGATCACTGCACCTGTACACAGTCCATCTGTAATTAGCCCATCCAACTACCTCATCCCCATATTGTTATTTATTTTGCTCATTTGCACCCCAGTATCTCTATTTGCACATCTATCATTCCAGTGTTAATACTAAATTGTAATTATTTTGCACTATGGCCTATTTATTGCCTTACCTCCATAACTTGCTACATTTGCACACACTGTATATATATTTTCTGTTGTATTTTTGACTTTATGTTTTGTTTACCCCATATGTAACTCTGTGTTGTTGTTTTTAATCGCACTGCTTTGCTTTATCTTGGCCAGGTCGCAGTTGTAAATGAGAACTTGTTCTCAACTGGCTTACCTGGTTAAATAAAGGTGAAATAGAAAAATAAAATAAAAAAACAACAAGCCGACTAGGTATAGATAAACTATTCTACTATGTGTTGGTCTGATTTTTCTATTCATTACTTGTTTTGTTTGCAGAAGATTCTAGCATCTTCAAAGTGCGCCTCAGCATAATTATATTTTCATGTAAAAATTTTTTTTGCCATGGCGGCAATAAATGTTGCTGTGGCGCAGCGCTACATATAAATGACTGCAGAAGAAACAATGGCATGTTGTTTGTTCAAATGTAACATCTATCCATCTATTCAAATGCCATTAGGGTCCCATGGGAAACACTGACCAGCACTTTGGTTCCTACCATGTCATAACTCTCACCTGGCTTGTCAAACAACACCAACCATATAATTAGAAAAATCATTATATTTCTATGATTCCAACAGTTGACCCAAGTGTTTTGATCTATATCGCAAGTTAAATCACAATATTTGGTTGAAAAATCCCAATCTATATCGCCCAACCAACCTGGTAACTTTACCATTTTGCAAATATTTGGTGGCAAAGAAAGAAATGAAAAAGGATATATTCTTCAGGCGATGTGCTTCAAAAGTAAGTAAGATTCATATATGCCCAATGTAGGCTATATCTCAATCAATTAAAAATATATTTTTTTTCTGGTGCTACTAAATGTTATGTGGTGCTCCTAACTTTTTAAAGTTAGTAGCATCAGTGCTACCAATTTTTTTATTTTATTGGGTGCGTTAGTAGTGGGTTCTGTGCGTTTGGTGCCTTAGTAGTGGATTCTATGTGTCTGGTGCGTTAGTAGTGGGTTCTGTGTGTTTGGTTTGTTAGTAGTGGGTTCTGTGTGTTTGGTTTGTTAGTAGTGGGTTCTGTGTGTTTGGTTTGTTAGTAGTGGGTTCTGTGTGTTTGGTTTGTTAGTAGTGGGTTCTGTGTGTTTGGTTTGTTAGTAGTGGGTTCTGTATGTTTGGTTTGTTAGTAGTGGGTTCTGTGTGTTTGGTTTGTTAGTAGTGGGTTCTGTGTGTTTGGTTTGTTAGTAGTGGGTTCTGTATGTTTGGTTTGTTAGTAGTGGGTTCTGTGTGTTTGGTGCTTGGTCAAGCAGGTGTTGTGTATCTTACCTCCAGTCTCCTTGTCCTCCACCAGTATCTCCAGCTTCAACAGTCTCCAGGGAATATCTGGGTCGTCCCCCATCACTGTCAGCGTGGCCTCAAACTCCCCCTCCACACGGAACTTCACACGCCCATTAGCTACGAGACACACATAGTGAGGGTGGCCAGCTTTGTGTGTGTGTGTGTGTGTGTGTGTGTGTGTGTGTGTGTGTGTGTGATCCTTACCAACGGTGAGATTGGCTAGCTGAGGTGGTAGGTCTGTCGTGACAAGACGATGTCGCAGGATTTGATTGAGCTGGTTCAGGGTTGTCTGCTTCTCCACCTTAGTGATGGGGTCTGGAGGAATGATCTTATCCTACACACACACGGCTGTCAATGCACTGGCCCAAACAGGGCTTCAGATTTCTCCGTCCCTATTCCACACTCCAGTCCAGTTGGTGGCGGTAACGCACCACTAAAGATATCTGTGTTTGTGCACATAATGTACATCACACACAACTGACAGAGTACATACGTGAACAACATCATTTCTGGCTAAGCCAGACAGGCACCCAGGCTACTTCAACCATAGTGGCTTATGAACACAGAGGCATCAGGTGTCTTATTTTATTTGACCACTATTTAACCAGGCATGTCAACTGAGAACCAGCTCTCAGGCCAGGTCAAGAGGTCAAAACAATGCAATAGACTACAAGAAAAAAATGAACACAGTAGTGGACACACACACAGACCAGTTAGGGGTGTCTTACCCGTATGCAGGTGGGCAGGCGAGGGTATGACCCGGTGGTGAGCACGTCGATGGCGAACGGGATGGCAAAGCTGGGCAGGCGGGCGTGCACCAGGGCGTCCCTCGCCAGTGATGCCAGCCTATCAGCCGTGTCCACAAATAGGAAGGCCTGCTGGTCCAGGAAGCTGGAGATCATCTGTTACAGTGAAAACAGGAGGTTAGGGGTTAAAGGTCTGGTTAGCTTATGACTGTACTCAGTATTATCTTGAATTATGTGCAAGTCGACCTAACTCAAAGTTAAACATAAACAATGCATTGATGTCAGTGGGGAAATGTATGAAAAGGTGAGAGTTTTATGTGCATAACTCAAGATAGTATCTGGTTGTGTATGCCCACTTTGAGAGTATGTTTGGTGTAGAGTACTGTGGTCTAGCATACATACCGCACACTTCTCCACCTTCCCAGCGTTGCTGGCCCATTTCACCAGGGCAAGGAGACGCACAAACAGCTGCCTGGTCCGACTGGAAAACTGGACAATCTCGATTTTTCTGTAAGAAACAGTAGAAAAGGCAAAAGAAGAGGATTGTGTATGTCACATACAACACATTCCCAATTTGACAAGTCAATTTCATCAGTGAACACACCCAGTGAAACAAGAGACACACATACCTTTCCATGTCTGTTTTTCTGGGAAGACTGCAAGAAAGACAGAAACAGTATGGGTAACTTTCAGATATTACTACGTCATTTTTAAATGAAGGAATCTCAATTAATAAAGACCCATTACGTTGAACGGGGTCTCGTCATTACTTACAGTTCACCCAACAGGGTGATTTCATGGTAGGTCCTCTGCAGGAGAAACTCAATCAGCAGGCTCAGTCGGACTCCTTGGGTGGCCGGGGGGCCGGGGGGTGGCGGCTGGATGGCCGAGGTGGGACCACCGATAGGGACCAGTTGCCCATCTGATCCAATCTGCACCGGAGCCATTTTAAAATAACAACGCAAGCTCCACCGATGGAGACCGAAAAAATAGAAAACGATCGACTCGCAAATACTTTGAACTGGAACCAATCTTACACGTATTCTACACCATTTCGCGCAAAATAGTTATTAAGTAGGGGCTCGGCGACTTCGCCCCATAGAAAAGTCGGCAAATACCCGAGTTTTAATTGCTTATTACAGAAAAGATTCAACGCTGTTCAACCGCCATCTTTGCTGTCTGACGGGAAGTGATCACGGTTCGGTGGAAATGAAGACCCGGATACGGTTTTTACAGAAACAATGGAAGAAGTCGCTCGTGAGAGTTTACTCTGCTGTTCCAGGATCAGTATTCATTCACTAGATTATTGTCAATTAGTTCAGACCATAAACAATCAAACTGGCCCCTGATCAGCGCCAGTTGTTCTGTGCGTGATACTTAAGGTATTTAAACTGTTTATACGACTTGTATAATATGCCCTGCCATTTCGTATGGGATGTTGTGCATTACATTTTAGTAAGATAGATCATATGACAGATACACCTTATTTGTCCCTGAGGAGAGCACATAGACACAACAAAATACAGGACAAAACAAATAGACACACACTGGTATAAATGTTATACTGTATATTTGAGGATTGATGTGTATTGTCCCTATCAAATAAATGTAATAAATGAAACATTTATTAAATTAAAGTTCTGTATATGCGATTCGATACGTTTCAATTCATCATGGACCTGAAACTGGCCGGTGATAAAGAACAGCATAACAAGCCATAGATTATGTTGGCAGCGGCAGGGGTCAGTGGTAAAGGTATTAGGGTGGAATTCTGATTTAAATAACTGCTGACTCCTCAATTCCCAGAGGCAGGTAATAGGAATGACTTTTCCATTCCCTTCCTTTTCATTTTCACAGGATGATACATAACTTTATGTCAATATGACATGGCTGCAAAATAACATGACAATCAAAACATTAACACATAATCTGACAAGATCATTATTAAAAAATGAAGAGTTTATTTCCAAAACACTATATCCACCAATTTTTAAATTTGGTGTGTTTTTTTCCATGATTGTTTATGGGTACCTTCATGTGTGTGTAAAATAGTACTGTTCTCAGATTTTTTATTCATAGATTTTAGATGTGAATTAAAATGTGTTTTTTTGCAAAATGCTATATATATGTATATATGGCTACTTAGAAGAATCTCAAATATATTTTGATTTGTTTAACACTTTTTTGGTTACTACATTATTCCATATGTGTTGTTTCATAGTTTTGATGTCTTCACTATTATTCTACAATGTAGAAAATAGTAAAAAATAAAGAAAAACCCTTGAATGAGTAGGTGTGTCCAAACTTTTGACTGGTACTGTATATAAACTCAGCAAAAAAAGAAACGTCCCTTTTTCAGGACCCTGTCTTTCAAAGATAATTCGTAAAAATCCAAATAACTTTACAGTTCTTAATTGTAAAGGGTTTAAACACTGTTTCCCATGCTTGTTCAATGAACCATAAACAATTAATGAACATGCACCTGTGGAACGGTCGTTAAGACACTAACAGCTTACAGACGGTAGACAATTAAGGTCACAGTTATGAAAACTTAGGATACTAAAGAAGCCTTTCTACTGACTCTGAAAAACACCAAAAGAAAGATGCCTAGGGTCCCTGCTCATCTGCATGAACGTGCCTTAGGCATGCTGCAAGGAGGCATGAGGACTGCATATGTGGCCAGGGCAATAAATTGCAATGTCCATACTGTGGACATACTCCTAAGACAGCGATACAGGGAGAAGGGCGGACAGCTGATTGTCCTCGCAGTGGCAGACCACGTGTAACAACACCTGCACAGGATCGGTACATCCGAACATCACACCTGCGGGACAGGTACAGGATGGCAACAACAACTGCCCGAGTTACACCAGGAACGCACAATCCCTCCATCAGTGCTCAGACTGTCCGCAATAGGCTGAGAGAGGCTGCACTGAGGGCTTGTAGGCCTGTTGTAAGGCAGGTCCTCACCAGACATCACCGGCAACAACGTTGCCTATGGGCACAAACCCACCGTCGCTGGACCAGACAGGACTGGCAAAAAGTGCTCTTCACTGACAAGTCGCGGTTTTGTCTCTGGAGCGGGACCGATTTGGAGGTGGAGGGTCCGTCATGGTTTGGGGCGGTGTGTCACAGCATCATCGGACTGAGCTTGTTGTCATTGCAGGCAATCTCAATGCTGTGCGTTACAGGGAAGACATCCTCCTCCCTCATGTGTTACCCTTCCTGCAGGCTCATCCTGACATGACCCTCCAGAATGACAATGCCACCAGCCATACTGCTCGTTCTGTGCGTGATTTCCTGCAAGACAGGAATGTCAGTGTTCTGCCATGGCCAGCGTAGAGCCCGGATCTCAATCCCATTGAGCACGTCTGGGACCTGTTGGATCGGAGGCTGAGGGCTAGGGCCATTCCCCTCATTCCCCTCAGAAATGTCCGGGAACTTGCAGGTGCCTTGGTGGAAGAGTGGGGTAACATCTCACAGCAAGAACTGGCAAATCTGGTGCAGTCCATGAGGAGGAGATGCACTGCATTACTTAATGCAGCTGGTGGTCACACCAGATACTGACTGTTACTTTTGACCCCCCCCCCTTTGTTCAGGGACACATTATTCAATTTCTGTTAGTCACATGTCTGTGGAACTTGTTCAGTTTATGTCTCGGTCGTGGCCGGCTGCGACACAGCCTGGGATCGAACCTGGGTCTGTGGTGACGCCTCAAGCACTGCGATGCAGTTTTTAAACATTTTTTAAATATCATTTGTACAGTTCTTTATTACAAACTGAACTGAACAGCGCCGGAGAAGATGGCTGCCGTTTTACAGCCCTCTAACCAATTGTACTATTATGTGTGTTTTTCCGCGTTATTTGTAATTTATTTTGTACATAATGTTTCTGCCATCGTCTCTTATAACCAAAAAGAGCTTCTGGATATCAGGACAGCGATTACTCACCTCGTATTGGACGAAGATTTTTTCTTCAACGAGGCGGCCGCGAAGGATATCATACAGACACCCGACAAGGCCCAAATCCCCGTCATTCGCGTGAGGAAGAGACAGAGATATCGCGGACGGAGATCGGGGTGCCTTGTAAGGATCCGACGGCGAGCGAGTAAACTGCCTCTTCCATCAATCCTATTAGCCAACGTTCAATCTTTTGAAAATAAAGTGGACGACTTAAGATTACGGTTATCCTACCAACGGGACATTAAAAACTGTAATATATTATGTTTCACCGAGTCGTGGCTGAACGACGACAATGATAACATTCAGCTAGCAGGCTATACGCTACATCGGCAGGACAGAACGGCTGACTCCGGTAAGACAAGGGGTGGCGGTCTGTGTATATTTGTAAACAACAGCTGGTGCACAAAATCAAATACTAAGGATGTCTCGAGGTTTTGCTCGCCTGAGGTAGAGTATCTTATGATAAGCTGTAGACCACACTATTTACCAAGAGAGTTTTCATCTATATTTTTCATAGCTGTCTATTTACCACCCCAAACCAATGCTGGCATTAAGATTGCACTGAATGAGTTGTACAAGGCCATTAATCAACAGGAAAACGCTCATCCAGATGCAGCGCTCCTAGTGGCCGGGGACTTTAATGCAGGGAAACTTAAATCCGTTCTACCTAATTTCTACCAGCATGTTAAATGTGCAACCAGAGGGAAAAAAACTCTAGACCACCTTTACTCCACACACAGAGACGCATACAAAGCTCTCCCTCGCCCTCCATTTGGCAAATCTGACCATAACTCTATCCTCCTGATTCCTGCTTATAAGCAAAAACTAAAGCAGGAAGCACCAGTGACTCGGTTAATAAAAAAGTGGTCAGATGACGCAGATGCTAAGCTACAGGACTGTTTTGCTAGCACAGACTGGAACATGTTCCGGGATTCTTCAGACAGCATTGAGGAGTACACCACATCAGTCACTGGCTTCATCAATAAGTGCATCGATGATGTCGTCCCCACAGTGACCGTACGTACATACCCCAACCAGAAGCCATGGATTACAGGAAACATCCGCACTGAGCTAAAGGGTAGAGCTGCCGCTTTCAAGGAACGGGACTCTAACCCGGACGCTTATAAGAAATCCCGCTATGCCCTCCGACGAACCATCAAACAGGCAAAGAGTCAATACAGGTCTAAGATTGAATCGTACTACACTGGCTCTGACGCTCGTCGGATGTGGCAGGGCTTGAAAACTATTACAGACTACAAAGGGAAGCACAGCCGCGAGCTGCCCAGTGACACAAGCCTACCAGACGAGCTAAACCACTTCTATGCTCGCTTCGAGGCAAGCAACACTGAAGCATGCATGAGAGCACCAGCTGTTCCGGATGACTATGCGATCACGCTCTCTGTCGCCGATGTGAGTAAGACTTTTAAGCAGGTCAACATTCACAAGGCCGCAGGGCCAGACGGATTACCAGGACGTGTACTCCGAGCATGTGCTGACCAACTGGCAAGTGTCTTCACTGACATTTTCAACATGTCCCTGACTGAGTCTGTAATACCAACATGTTTCAAGCAGACCACCATAGTCCCCGTGCCCAAGGACTCTAAGATAACCTGCCTAAATGACTACCGACCCGTAGCACTGACGTCTGTAGCCATGAAGTGCTTTGAAAGGCTGGTCATGGCTCACATCAACAGCATTATCCCAGAAACCCTAGACCCACTCCAATTTGCATACCGCCCCAACAGATCCACAGATGATGCAATCTCTATTGCACTCTACACTGCCCTTTCCCACCTGGACAAGAGGAACACCTACGTGAGAATGCTATTCATTGACTACAGCTCAGCATTCAACACCATAGTGCCCTCTAAGCTCATCACTAAGCTAAGGATCCTGGGACTAAACACCTCCCTCTGCAACTGGATCCTGGACTTCCTGACGGGCCGCCCCCAGGTGGTAAGGGTAGGTAACAACACATCTGCCACACTGATCCTCAACACGGGGGCCTCTCAGGGGTGCGTGCTCAGTCCCCTCCTGTACTCTCTGTTCACCCATGACTGCATGGCCAGGCACGACTCCAACACCATCATTAAGTTTGCCGACGACACAACAGTGGTAGGCCTGATCACCGACAACGATGAGACAGCCTATAGGGAGGAGGTCAGAGATCTGGCCGTGTGGTGCCAGGACAACAACCTCTCCCTCAACGTGACCAAGA